CCTTTATTGTCATTTCAGTTCTGCTGCTTTTTTAAGAGCTCAGCTGTGTACGTGAGGATGGTCCATTAGCATCTGAAATGTTTATTCCAATGAGGACATATTGGACATACTGAGAAGTGTCCTCTTGCATCATCTGGCCACCTTTTGTTGATATGAGTTACAGAGAAGAACTCACCTTTTCCTCCATTTCTGCCTGATCTTTTTTTTTTTAAAAAAAAAAAAAGAAGAAAAACTACTTTACAAATCAATAAGCAAAGCGAGCACATTCTGCGTCATAACTGCACAGTCACCAAGAAGAGGGATCTCTACTGGTCACAAACTCTTTAATGCCAGAAGGGTTTTTGTCATGTAAACTTAAATATGTGGGCCTGTGAGTTGGTCCATTGGCATCGTCTTTGTTTAGTGTCTGACACAACTGCTGCTTAATCATTGTGTTACAGTTCTTGCATTAAATGTCACTCTGTTTTTGATATATCTTCCTTTCTGTTTGTCTGGTCCCCTGCCTCCATGAGGTTGCCCATGAAACAAAATTAGCTTAAGATTCTTCTGGAATCTGTTGCTTCCTGTGCTGTAGACCTGAGGAACTCCATGTGGCCTTGCAAATAACTGAATAACATTGATTCACAGAATGACATAGATGAACCTCAAGAACAGGTATACTTTGAAACCATAAGATGATCAGATAATTTAAGTTGGAAGGAACTTAAGAAGGTTGTCTAGTCTAAATTTCAGTGTGTAAGACCTCATGATTCCTTAAGTTTTGGTTAGTATCAGAAATGAGTCCAAGAAAAAAAAATACATTCACATGTATTAAAAATTCTTTTTAGTTTGTTTTACAGCTGGAATGTGCTATGGATTTAGCATGTCTCAGAGGGAATACTTTTTCTTGAGTCTTACCGAACAAATGAAATTCTACTCTGGATCATTAACAGAGAAATCAAAATGAATGGCAATAATCCAGATGTCTGCTGTAGTCTCATTTAAGAATGTTGTTTATATTAACACAGTTAATATTTAAAATGTTTGGGTTTTAATTATGGCTTAAGAAAGTAAACTGTTTTAAGGAGAGGTGAGTGAAGTCATCCGGGTAAACATGCCATCTAAAGAACAGCTCCCCAAATTAAACTAAGCAGCATGATGGAAAATGATCCATTAAAGATTTTTCAAATTTTTTTCATAAGCCTTCACCCTCATTTTCTGTGCAAGTGAAGTTTCCAGTATCTCACAGACTGTTTATTCCTATAGCATTCTCCAGATGAACAGAAGCGAATAACAAAAATCTGCAAAACAAATACAAAGAGCATCACTTTATCTGAGCTGCTGTGCAGTGCTGATTTTCTCGTACAGTCAAGGCCAATGCAGCTCAAAAAAATAGAAGGCAATCCTGTACTCTGTGTGGGAGTCATGATTTAAATGGACACACATGTTTTTAAAGTTTGTTTGGTCCAGACTTCTGGCTCCTTTGATGCTGGTATATCACTCAGCAGAACAGTAGTCTTTGCTCATTTCACATCCTCAGGTGGCAATGCTACAAAAAAGTTGATTTAAGGAAGGTTTGTATTTTTTTGGGTATGCTGGGTACCTGTGTCCCCTTAATTCACTGTGGAGTGCATTTGAAGGACTTGATTTGTACCAAGTCTAACTCTGGCAGTGTGCACCCATTGCACATTGGACTTACCACAGAAGCTGCTCTTAAGAGTAGGGCTGAGCTGTCTGGGACTTGGTAGAACTCAGGGTCTCCAGAGGACACAGTGGCATCAGAGCAACTCCCCCAGTTCAGTACTTGTTCCCACTATAAATCTGGTTCATAAAATGGCTTCTAAATTCTTCTACTTCTTGACGCTGAATTATTATTTCATATTTCAAGTGAGCAGACTTTTTTCTTTTATTATAGTGAACTAATTACAGGGTTATTAGAGTATTAGTGCTCCATAGCCTTCTAGCCAGATGATATTAGTTGCTTGACTGAGCACCAGTGTTATCGTTGAGTGATGTTGAAATGGTTTGCCTGCAATCACCCAGTAACTCTTATCTACAGATTCAGCCCAGTGATCTATTCACTAAACCATGTAACTTTTTATAATTTGCTCATTACTTTTGCCAGATTTTAGCTACTTGGTCTGGAATTTTCTTTCCTTAGGATCTGCCTGAAGCAATAAGTGTCACTTCTTTCATCAAGAAACATGCATTGCTTTTCCTATATAGATTTTAAATGAATAAAATAATTCTTACAAGCCCTGTGAGAAATTCTTCTGCTCTGGGATATGGAGGCACCGTTGAAATCAAGGAGAGAATCTTCCTTGAGTCATGGACATATTTTCATTCTTCTGACCTCCACCTAGATATTTGTGGGTTATAATTACCCCCCCCTAATATGCCAGTTGTTATGAGTTTCAATCAGTCATATGCAGAGTTTGGTCCCCAAATGCTTTTTAATTTTTTTCTGCTGTAGGTTTGCACTGTTTCAGAACTGTAAGAATGAAGGGACTTGCCCTGCAATTTTGTGAGATGTTGGTAGACACTAGAGACAGCGTGGAGGCTCTTTGTTGTTAGTAGTGTTCTTCCTTTTAGTCCCAAAGAAGATTCCTGTGCAACAGGGAAGAATTGGACATGAGGAAAGGGGATAGTAAGGACTAGAGGAATAGGAAGCCAGTGGGAATGGGAAAGGAATCTGGGAAGTGACTATGGGGAAATGCTGACTGCTGAGATCTGAGATGGGAGATAAAAAAATCCATTAGTTGAATGTGTACATGTAGGATGAGTAGGACTTAGGAGCGAAGAAGCTGAGAGTGAGAGAAGGAAATAAAAGGGGAGGAGATTTGGGGTTGATAGACTGTGGAGGATTGGACATCTCAACTTTTGAGGTGTGTCTAGAAGGCAGGGGTGATAGGAATAAAAGTGCAGCCTAGATGGAAGCGTGGGAAGAGGGAACAAGTTCATACAGCGCAGAAACTGGCATAAGCCAGGGAATGTGGAGTGGGTGTGAAGGTGGAAGACCATGCTCTGTGTAGAACAGGAGAAGAATCAGTTCTGATCACTAAAGGAGAGTCACCAAATGTTGTTCAAAACAAAAACCTGCAACAAAACTCATAATTCTAATGGAATCTAACAACTGCAGGCTCAGTAGAGATGTGGGTTTTATGACATATTATTTTTCCCCATAATAACCACCTTCAAACTCTTCAGTTACACTGGCAATAATTACTCCCCTTCCTTGTTCCCCTCTGGGGCTCATAATTTTCTTAACTTTCCCTTTGCTTATAACCTACTCTGCTCTGCAGGTGCCAGCAATTCTTGTCTTTCAAACTGTCTTTTATTAACATAGCTCACTTGAATTCGGAACAGTTGTTCATAACCCATACCTTCTGTTACAAGAGCCAAAAAGAATTTGTATGCATTAAGTTGGTCTCTCTTTTTTTTTTTTTCCTTAACTGTAAAAATTGTTCTTATGAGCCTTATGAACTTCTCTTTGCAAGAAATACTTGTTCCTCTGAGTGCTTTTAATGTTGTTTGTAGGTTTGTTTTTGCACAGTGGTGACAACAGAGTGAGATTTTTCATGTTTTCTGCTGGTTTGTGAGATCGAATGGGGGAGGTTGGTGTGATGATGATGATTATTATTATTATTTCTCTTGGGAATATATTTGAAGATAGAACATGGATAAATGGAGCCTCAAGGGTGACTCATGTTTTTGTTTAGCTTGAACTAAGTCCAGCTTCTAAGAGGAACTTGATTTTTAGGTGCATGTTTTTACAAAGTGTTTTAAACTGAAGTTATAATTCCAGAGGTCTCAATAGCGTGTGTTTGTTTTTATTTAGGAACATGTTTAAGGAATGTTTTTGGTGGGTGAATGTAAAATAAATAAAACTATCTCAAGCTGGAGGTTGCAATTCTTTGGCATATTCAATGTCAGCAAAAATCAAGTGGAAGAATGTTACTTAGAGAATGAACTCAGTTAATTTTTATGATTTACTTTGTAAAGAATTGTCTTTGTGCTCATTTGCAAGATGCAAAAGTGTGATTTCTTAAGTAGTGTTTGCTTTTTACTTTGTAAAGGCTTCTGCATGTTTGGAAGGTGGCTACAATTTGTTTTCAGCAAGGGTCACTGCCTGCTTGTCTTTGGGTAACACAAATTCAGAAAGTACTTTTCTTCAACTTACTGTTACCATATTAATTGTCACTGAGTGTATAACAGCGTGACACCTTCGTGCCATTGCTTCTGTAATGTTCAAGGTGTGGTTCTAATTTTTTGGTCATTATAAATTCTCAGTAAACATCATTTATAACTCAGTTTTTATTCAAACAAACAAAAACCCCAACAAAACCTTGTTCTCATGTGCAATGTGAATATCTTAGCTTGTGAATATTTTGAAATTTCTCTACAAAGCAATTGATGACATTCATTTATAAGTTGTTAGGGGAATGAGGGAAAGTCAGGCTCCACTTTTTTTTGTTTCTTTTAGGGGATTTGATTATGTCTTGTAAATGACTCTTCACTGAGAAAGTATTCATGGTACTTTATTCATACAGTTATGATTTACCTTTTGAATATAATAGATAAGGTTAGAGTAAGAATGTAATGTCACGTATTTTAAAAATGTAGTTTAATGGATATTTCTAATAACTATACTTTAATGAAAAGGAATTTCAACACTTGAAACTAGTTTGCAAGTTGAACAATAAATGCCCCTCTGGTAACTTAGCATATATGCTTTCATCCTAGTCAGCTGCATACTGGGGGCATATGTATGTTTTCAGTATACATAGGTATCTGTAAAACAGAGACAAAGAAATTGACCACACAATTCTTGCTAAAATTAACAGACATTATGTGATTTGATCCACAGCCCCTGTCATGAAATGTCCCTGGTGCAAATTTCATCATATGATGAGTGATTGTGTTCTGTCTACTCATCTGGTGCTGGGTTTGAATGCTAAGGGTGTTGCAGAGTTAATGCTTGGACTATATGTTATGCAATACATTTTTGTACTAATTCTGAAATGTGTTTTATTTGCAGGGATATTAAACCAGACAACATTTTGATGGATATGAATGGACATATTCGATTAGCAGATTTTGGTTCTTGTCTGAAACTGATGGAAGATGGAACGGTAAATTAGAATGATATATTCCTAAACACCTTTTCTTCAGTCCTTTGCTAGCTGCTAAAAATGTGTGCTAATAAAGGGAAAAGGTGCCTTATGTCAAACAAAATGGAACTGTAATGATATTGATATGTAACTAACCTCGACTGCACTTTGCTTGGATTTACTGTATATTAAAAGCTTTCTAGATGCATATAGTCAAGTCATGAATAAATAAAGAGAAGCTGCACCATCAACACTGAGTAGGTATTTGTCAATGAACTGTGAATCTCAGTTTTGAGCTCTGAGCTCTAATCTTTATTGAAAATGTAAGCTTTAATATAAGCAGGATGAGATGCAATTAGCATATCATCATATTTTAGTAGTATATCTAAACTTGCACAGTATATAGTAGGTGTGATTAGAATGTAATGCTAGTGTGTTAATCATGTTCCAGAGTGTTACAAAGTATTTGAGTTAATATATCTGATCACTTAATCTAAAATTACTTAGTAACAACTCTGAGCCCAAGAATTGGCAGTTTTATTCTTTCTCTGTTATTAAATATTTGTAAGAGTTGAGCAAAAGTATGTTATTGGGATGTCTGTTAATGTAGAGCCTCAGATGCTTACGTATTTCTTTATGAATTTAAAAGCCTTTTTATTGTGTTTAGTTGTTATTGTCATAACCAGAACACTAGGCTAAATTTATATATACATGCATGGTGGCACAAACAGCAGTGTCTGTAATGATGAAAGTTGATTTTAGTCCTGGAAATGTAACTTTTACAGGTCCAATCTTCAGTGGCAGTTGGAACACCGGACTACATCTCTCCAGAAATCTTGCAGGCCATGGAAGATGGAAAAGGGAAGTATGGGCCCGAGTGTGACTGGTGGTCCCTAGGCGTTTGCATGTATGAAATGCTTTATGGAGAAACGCCCTTTTATGCTGAGTCCTTGGTGGAGACCTATGGGAAAATAATGAACCACAAAGTTAGTGCACTTTCTCTTTCTGTCTCTCTCTAAGCTAATTTTTAATAAGTAATAGGGTAACTTGGAGGCTTATTTAAAAATGAGTGTTTATGTACTAATTACGTTAACATTCATAAATGTAGAAAAAATATGTTTCCATATAGTAAGCTTGTGGTTGTGGATTGCAAATGGCTTTGCTTTAGGATAAAGCAGTTCAAAACTAAAAATTTGGATTTGGAAACATGGCTGTTAGTTCACTCTATGGAGTAAATCTTGGCTATGTTACATCACTCCTTTTGCATTACTTTTTTCTGGCAAGATCCATTGGTTGGCTTATGTGGAAGATTCTTAAATGTTCTTCCACATGGAGGTAGCTGTAGAATTCAACAGTGTAAGAGAAATTTAAATAAAGAAGAAAAATTAGGAGACAAAAAACTTCAATAGTTTCTATCCTTTGGGGAAGTCTTTTTTCTAGAAACCTTACTACATGTATTTAAGAAGTGGAGTATTTGCACACTTCTTTTTCTAGACAATAATTATCATTAAGAAGGGTATTTTTTCCAGCTTTTTCTTGGTAATAAATTATTTTCTCTTACTTTTAATCTTTAAGGAGAGGTTTCAGTTTCCTGCTCAAGTGACAGATGTCTCTGAAAGTGCAAAGGACCTCATCCGAAGGCTCATCTGTAGCAGAGAGCATCGACTTGGACAAAATGGGATAGAAGACTTCAAGAACCATCCATTTTTTGCTGGGATTGATTGGGACAACATTAGAAACTGTGAGGCACCTTACATCCCAGAAGTCAGCAGCCCCACTGATACATCAAACTTTGACGTGGACGACGATTGCTTAAAAAATTCTGTAAGTATAGAATTAACATTTTGACAAATCAGCTTTTGTAGTATACGTTACAACAAAATATGTGTAAATGGCAGCGTGTTCACTGTGTTCTGCATAAACATCAAAGTGCTGCTTTGAAGAACTGTGGGGAAATACTTTCATAGTTCGGAGGCTGTTCCTTCAACAAGGATAACTGCGGATCAATTTCGTAAATTCATTGTAACTTTACACCTATTTGACACATACATCTGTTATTTGCAGTGACAAGTTCTTAATGCCTATGTCTATAAAGAATACTATATTTACATGTAGGTAGTCTGCAAGACACAGTATTTCTAGCAGGGCATTGCTGAGACTTGTGCTAAGTTTGCATAATGCATTTTATTGTAGCGCTGTACTCTAATTGCTCGTACCTCTGTCAGATTCCATTCAGTTTATTCCCACTAAAATTTTTCCAGACTGTTTTCTGACTTGAGTGGAGTTTTGGGAAGTTCAGGAGAAATGTTACCGCCATTTCTTCAGGAACAGTCTTAGTGAGAAATTATTTTTGCCTTTGCTTAAAATGCTTTGCAACTGTTGATTTTTTAACAACCTTAGTGCTTTTGAACAGGAACTTTGAGAGATGATAGAGGTCTTAGCATCAGAGGAATGCCTTGCGTTGTCTCCTTGGAAATACTTTTTTTCTTTTTTTTTTTTGTGTTTGTTGAAAGATGCAGAAACTTGCTGTTTACATGTGAGGTGAAGCTTTTTCACCATTTTTGCTTTTGTTTTCTGAACTGCCCTGCATGTGCATCTCACTTCCACTGAGTTTCCTGGACCTGCAGATAAGTGATAGGCAGTATGAATTGATGTGGGCAGGATGATCATTATTTGCATTCCCTTTCCTCCAACTGCACGATAAAACATGGAAAACACTTTGGATTAATTTCAGTGGTAGACATATGCGGTGTGAAAGGTCTCAGAGTCCTTTGATATAGGCAAATTAAGCAAATCAGTCTAGCTGCTTAGGCCAACTTTCTTTTTTTTTTTTTTTTTTTTTTTCATTTTTTCCTCCATTTTTCCTCACTTGCATCTGGTATTGCCCATCTCCCTTCACAATTAAAGTATTTTTATCTTAAAACTTTTTAATACAGTCTTCAGATACCTGTTTACACATTATTTTGTCCAGGAACAGCTGTCAGGGTTGGGTGGCAGGAGTGGATGCTGTGTGTAGCGAGTCTTTGTGAAGCTGAAATACCTTTTGGAGGTTATTCACGCATTCTAATGTTGGCCAGTCCAGGGGTCTTCCTTTTTAGAGCCTGATCTCCCAGCCGAGGCACTCAAATGATGCTTCTGCAATGTGAATGTTTTCTCATTGTAAAGAAGCAGGGAACTGCAGGTGAAGGAGGAGTGTTTCTGTGAGCAGTTACTGGACTCAGACGTGAAAGCCGAGTCCAAATCTTAATGCGCTTTTAGACTTTTGGGGGTGAAAAGCAATGCCATTGAACTGTTGAGATGAACGGTAGTTTCTGGAGCTTCCTTTTCAGTTTTCTCATTTGAGACGTGAATATAGTTTTTTGTTTTGTTTAATATAAGGTTATATTTTTACCATTTCTTTCTGTGCCTAGCACCTCTGAAAAAACCCCTGTAGGCTGAGGCATTGCATGATTGAGGATATTTTACATTTTTTGCTTCAACTAGTGGACATTGTATTTAATATTACTTCCCCTCAAATTCTTACATAAAACTTGGAGGTGTCTTCCCTGCCATATTTCATGCACATCTTGTGAGGAAAGTTCACATACTTGCATTACTGTCACAGAATTCAATACCACAGACAAGCCCATGAGACTTGTTTTGGTTTTTTCCTTAAAATTCTTTGCAAGGTTTGAATGGCATACAACAAATGAGGAATGCCCAGTGCTGAAGATAAAAGGCAATGTTGAAAAGCCATGATTGTTATTGTTCTGCCTGAACTTGGAATGAGACTGTGGTCCCATCGAAAAATTATATATGTAATAGTGAAACTCAAACAGTATGTTAAAAGTACACAGAAACACAAAGGGCAAAACAGTGTTTTTAGGCAGCTTAAATTCTGCAGGTTTTTAGCTTTTAGCTGTTTGGGTTAGTAGCCTTACTGATAGGCACGACAGACATAGATTCAGTTATGATTTTGTTAGTATGATAATACAGTTGAATTCACACAAGTAACAGGAAATAAGTATTTTGATCTCTGACAAAGAATCAGCAAAGAAACAAAGTCTTGTACAGAACTTTACATTGTTATCAACAGATACGGTATTTTAGAACCAACATTGTTACCTGTGTGGTCACTGAAAACTGTCATATGGGCTGTTAAAATTGTACAATTATGCATTTGGTTTAAAGTTATTCATTAAAATGGTTTTGAAACTCAAATCTACAAAATATGAAAATAAAATATTTATGAAAATAAAATTCTTTACTTTTCCTAACCATAGTGTGTAATAATTGATATTTTTATTATTTATTAGTGAAAAGTTAAGGCTTTGTAATTTGGTCTTGTCCTTATGCCCAACAATGTAGACTTGATGTACTTGCACAATCTGGCCGTGTCATTGGTGTTGCTTTTTATTCTGGGAACTCTTTTTTCAATGTGAAGATTTGTCTGCTAAAAGGTCAAGGTTGTGATGCAATATAGCTGATACCACCACTGAAAAGGTGATTTTGGATTTCTTTTGAATACAGGCTTGTTCTAACCTGCTGAGTTTTACGTGTAAAAATGTACAACTCGTTCATTTCTTCTTTTTCTTTTTTTTTTTTTGTTTGAAAAAATATCATTATGTTACCTTTCCTTAAAATTTAGAAACTTCTAGCACTTTCAGTGTGATAATCTTCTTAGGGAGTTTCTTTTCATGACTGTTATGGCCGTACGTAGTGTAGCAACATACACCTTGCATCTTGGGGTTAAACAGGAAACTTTTAACAGAGTATCTAAGAATGTTAGAACTTATAATGGTTCAAGTTATATAGCAATAGGGTTATTTTAGCCTGAGGAGAATCTCAAAGATTTGTCTTGGTTTGTAGTTCTTTGTCTGGCAGGAAAAAGGAGCAATGAAGGGAAAAAATGGTGAAAGCACTAAGGGGATTAGAAAACCCTGTTGTATTACTTCTTTCTAGTAAATGTGTGACTATTGTTCTCTCCAAATAGAGATGGCCCACTCAGAAGTGGGGTTGGTAAATCTACAGGCAGTAAGCCCTGCTGACTAAATAGCAGATAGGAGTATAGGAGGGAACAAAAGGTGATACTCTTTGTGCTAAGAGCTTCTTGGAAAAAAGAAGGAATAAATTGACTTTTGATATGTGTAATATTCTGCTTTCCTCTAACGATAGCCTATTTAATTAGAAAAACATGTTTATGCCAGCATGCTGTATTTTTGTGTATTGCATGCTATTATGAATAGATTTAGATGATGCCATTTCATATTTGGGCTGTGGATAAGGATGACTGTGAATATAGTTAATATGATATTATCACTAACATTTCACATATGGTTAAACTCAAAAATCTTTTTCTTTTAAGTTTGGTAGGATGTTACTTACTCAACTGTCCTGTTATTTTTCTAGGAAACAATGCCTCCACCATCACACACTGCATTTTCTGGCCATCATTTACCATTTGTGGGTTTCACATATACAAGTAGCTGGTAAGTCAAGAGTTCCAAAATTATCTGGAGGATAATTACAACATGTCTTAAGTTTCTGTCTGTGAAACCAACTGCAAACAGATACCAAAGAATGTGGTTTATTGAGGAAATTACTAGGCCATAATCTAAAATGCCGTCTGTCCAAAAGAATGAGCTTTCTGCAGGTAAAATTTACGTGTATTTGAAAGTCAGCACCTGTGTTCAGAGGATTTTTGTTGAGAAAGGTGGTTTTCAGACAATGTATGAAGTCAAATGCATATGACAAAGTTAAGACCAGATGTGTGGATCCAGAGAGAACTTAGCTTATTAGACTTTAAAACCAGTTTTATTTCTAGTCCTTTGACACTCTTCTAAGTCTGAATGGAAATTTAAAAAAAAAACCCTTCTATTGATGTTTAGTATTAATGTAGTATCTGTCAGGTTCAACTTTACTGCTAAATTAAACAGTAACAAGTGCATATATTCTCCTTGATCATTTATGAAAATAAATAAATAGAAAATGTTTGCAACCATTGAAAAACCAGGCCTATGTTTCTGCAAACACATGTGCGTAATGCTGGTTAAGCATTAAGGTGTGTGACCTGTCCTGTAGACTTCAAAAGGATTATTTGCATTAGTAGTAGTATGTGTATGGGTTCAACTGACAGATAAAACTGACAGATATTAAACAGTAACAAGTGCATATATTCTCCTTGATCATTTATGAAAATAAATAAATAGAAAATGTTTGCAACCATTGAAAAACCAGGCCTATGTTTCTGCAAACACATGTGCTTAATGCTGGTTAAGCATTAAGGTGTGTGACCTGTCCTGTAGACTTCAAAAGGATTATTTGCATTAGTAGTAGTATGTGTATGTGAGTACTCACAGTTTAAGGGCTGCAACATTTCTGATATGTACGTGCCCTAGTTGTCATGTGATAATTTCCCACCATTTGTTGTGATTCTTTAAAGTATTTGGGAAACTTGATTAATTATCTTGAAATAAACTGGTATTGTAATCTTACTGTTGAGATTGTTGTTTTTTGCTTTCTGGCTAACATAGACTGTCCATAATGATCATTTTTAATCGGGAGTTCATTCACTTTTATGTAATAAAAAAATGCATTGAGGAGATCAGTCATCCTAGGTAAAAATTATTTCAATTTTTAATGAGCATGTGCTAACAAGGTATTATTTGACTGTATAATAAATTACATAGTAATTAACAATTTAAACAACTATTTATTGGTTGATTTTTTTTAAATTACGTTAAACGCAACCTGTTATAAAATCCAATGCTGTTTAATTTTTTCCCCCCAGTGTGCTTTCAGACCGCAGCTGTCTAAGACTGACAGCTGGACCACCCTCCATGGATCTTGATGCCAGCATTCAAAGAACTTTGGAGGATAGTTTAGCAACAGAAGCTTATGAGAGGAGAATAAGACGTCTAGAACAGGAAAAGCTTGAACTTAGTAGAAAACTGCAAGGTATAGTCATTAAAGAAATATAAAATCATTCAATCACTTTTTTGAAATAGATTAGCTTGCAGCTTTGTAAGGCATGGTTTATACTGTGGAAAAAAAAATACACCTCCTGGAATGCTGTCTAGCAGAAAGAATTCTCTTCATTATTTCCGTTGACAAATTAAACTTCCTTTATTCTTTATGCTTGAAATATCCTATGTATGCAACTTCTATAACATGCTAACTTTGTTCACACTGTGCCTTGGTTACTATGGCATAAAGATTTAATTCTTAAAACTTCTAAGAACTTAGTTTGTCCAGCTGACAATTACTGAAAAATGGGCACTTAGTAGTTGGAAATTTATAAATTGTAGAATCCTCAGTGGAGGGGCATTTTGGCATGTCTTAATTTACCAGTGATATCTTTTTGACTTCCTCAGGTGTCACGTGTGTAATTTGTCCCTCTCTCTTCCATCCTTTTCTAGAATCCACCCAGACAGTCCAGGCTCTGCAGTATTCAACGGTAGATGGCCCAATAACAGCAAGCAAGGATTTAGAAATTAAAAGTTTGAAAGAAGAAATTGAAAAGTTGAAGAAACAGGTAACAGGTATGTTTTAAAAATGTGAAAACTGTAACAAGAAACAATATTTTGACAAGATTTTTTTTTTTCCCTCATATAATGTTAGTTTTACTTTGCTTTCTAAAAGAGTCTTCCAGTCTATTTTTACTTCTCATTTTATCCTTTGCTTTTCATTGGTAGCTCAGTATTTTCTACAAATTCAACTCAATATTCAGTTCTTCAGTAATTCCAGTTGCAAGAGAGAAGGAAGATTCCAATGACTTCTGCTCTTCTTAGTGGTAAAGTTCCATTAGTTTTAAATTGTGGTGTTGCTAATTGACATGGATGTGAATGAGGTTCTACCTGAGAATCTGAAACCATGACCAGTTTCCTTAGTACTACTATTCTTTTTTTCTTTCCTCCTGCAATGTGTACTGCAAGAGCAGGTGGAGCACTTGTTTGGTTGTTTATGGCAGTATCAAAAGTCACTGCAGTCCTTGCAGAAGTCATAGTTACTGTAGAATATCTTAGCATTCCTTGCTTTGTACATCTCCGCACTCGGGCATGCAGGTACATAGGCAGTAAACTGGAAGGAAGGAAGGTGCTGTTTCTTGCTTACGTGGGTAAATGTGAGGGGTGAAGGCTTTAGCCTAGCAGTTTTAATAGTATTAAAATATTTGATGGAAGGTGAAGTGTTATGATTTAAGCATCAATTGATTTTTTTCATTATCCCATTTTCTGTTGAATTTTCCTTGGAGGGGCCAGATTTGTGACATGTCATCACAATTTTGATTATGTTTTCTTTGAAACCACAGAGGTTTATAGTGTGCAGTTGCTTAGTGCATTGTAACTGCATGTGGAGTAAAAGCTAGTTCAAACTGGAGATGTGGTTTTCTGAGTATTTTGTTGGGACAGTACTTCTAGAAAAGTGTGGGTTATCTGGGAGGTGGGCTGTGTGCATGAAATTAGAGCGATACTGAGTTTTTCAAGTGGCAGGGAGTAGTGAAGGGGTGTTTTCTGTGAGAGAGGATGCTATGGGCTATGCTGCAGTTCCATGAGCAGCAGAACTGACCAAACAGAACTCTGCCACCAAAATGGGTCCTGCTCACAGCTGTGTGCCCTCTCCTCTCTCTGTGCCTGCCCCGGGCACTCTCTTGAGTTTAATTCACTCAAACAAGGAAAGAACTATCTAGATAGAGAATTTAATCAATTCATGATCTTATAAATCAGCACAAGCTGGGCAATAGGCGCATGTGAGGAAAGGGAGATGAGGGGGGAAGAACCACCTTGCAGCTCTGCTGTCAATGAGCTATCATTTCTTACAAAACCAAACATTTATTTCCTTTCCATTTAATTCCTTTGCTTCTGAGAGCTCATGAAGATTTTACAATAACTAAAAATTTGACTATCAAGTATCTCAGTACTTTTAAGTTTGAAAAGTGGTTTTGAAATCTGTGCAGATAAAGAGCTGAATTTCTTTAATTAATGTCATACTGCCTTTCTTTAAAACTCCCAAACTAGTCGCAAAGCAAAGATCTACTTATCCAAGTATCCTATGTCTTTACGGAGGCTACTGGAGACATTTATGGAAAGATTCAAAGAAATTCAATATATCCAAATCAATCTTTTTTCCAGCCTTCCTCTTCCAGATTCTGGCAATTCATGTTTTAAGAACTTCCAGAGGGAAAGCTTCTGTTGCACCGCCATGTTGAATTAGAGTTGTTAGTGAACCAATTTGCTGTCTGTTTACCTCATATCTTTTTAGCCTACTTTAAAGGCTAGCTACTAATACTAATTTTCAGTATTCTTGATTTGATGCTCTGAATTAAGTTAAAGGGCATTTTCTTTTGTAGTGATTCATAGCATAGGACTTCTGCTATCCTGCCCCATAAGAGTTTCTTCAAAATAGGATCTTGAGAGCAGAGACATCTTCAAAGAGAAAGAAAGGAAGTACAGCAAGATGGTTTTTATTTAAGAACATCACCAAGATAGATAGAGACCGTTAGGTATCAGGACTAGACCCATAGAAACAGGGAGGACAAATCTGATTCCTCTTGTCAATCCAAATAGGAAAATGTCCGCATTTTATGTGAGAGGAAAATCAGACACAAGTAATGGTAGATGGATCTCTATTATAATATGTCCATATCTTACCTGTGGCAAGGGAAGAAACCCAGCGAGAAAAGTTGGAGGAACCAACAAGAAAGATTTATTCTGGTTTGTATTTGTGAAAAGACTTCATTCAGTTCCTGAAAGTGTCAGGAATGCCAGCGGTGACACCCACAGCAAGAACAACTTGAACTTAACTTCCAGACGTTTTTAGTTGGTGTCTTTAGATTCTGCTGCTACGTTATGAGGCAGAAGCACGCTGTGTATGAACTGCATACTGCAGCACATAGATTATATACTGTTAAACTTGTGTAGTCTGAAAAAGGTCTGTTATACAGTTAGACAGCTGCTCAGCATGATGCAGCAGTTTTGTATTGTGCCATAAGCATTATTTTTGGATGTGAACATGGCTTAACTAGCTCAGGGAGGATCGCTCTGGTTTGAGTGATGCCATGTTGGCCCTGTGTCAGGACAAAGGTTTTTGTAAAGTTTCTCTCCAGCCAAAATGTCCCTCCACTTGTTGCTGTAATGGGGGAAAAAGCACGATCAGAAACTGCAGCAACGCTCAGCTCTGGTTTTGGCTCTTTAGGACCACTGAAAAGCAACATCTACAAGAACAGCTTTTGAATGGGACCAACCCTTCATAGAAAAGCATCAGGATCAGCTTTAAATTCTATTTTATTCTTGACTATTAAGCTGCAACTTAGATTTTAGTTCATTGCTGAAGGTATTACTCTCTTCCTTTGGTAATGAAAAAAAAAAGATGTGGGAACATTCCCCAACACAACTGATACCCCTTTTCACATTTAAAAGCAGTCAATGTCTGGTGAGGCTGTTAATATTGAGAAGGTTTTCCCTTAAGTATCCATTAAGAATTTTCTGCTTCATGCCACGTATATATTTGTATATTATTCCTAGATACAATATGTGCTTTTGTTTTTTCATGTTGGAAGTGAATAATGTGATCAAATGAGGAAGATGTAGAGTTGTCTAATCCATCCCCAGTCACCACATAACTTTCCCAGTATATATTTGAATGCCTCGTCTGGTCCAGTCAATACAGCCATTAGTTAGAAGACACTCATTTGTGCCTGGAGTTGTAACTAATACAAGCTAATTTGATAAAATTGGGAAAAGAGAGTTGTATTTTTCTTTATTTTATGGGGTGTGGGGTGTAGGGATTTTTAAAACTAAATTAATGACAGAATACAGGCACAAAACAAGTGGTGGTCATGTCTGAATGCTTCCAAATTTAGGGGAGAGAGTTCCAGGTTTTATGGGTAGCCTTTAAAATATGTAAATTTCCAAATCTAGATCTGATGAACCTCAAGAAGGTTCAGTTCAGGTGCAGAGCTGAACTTAATGCTTTGGGCTCATCTCTTGGGCAATTAAACGTAACGTAGTAACATCCTATGCTGAGTGTTTGCATATATTAGCTAAAATGTTAGCAATAACTAGGGTGATTAGATGGAAAATTACCATTGACTACACATATGTCACAACTAGCTTTTGGCTATATTCTTTAACCTGTTTTACTGCCTCTTCTGGAGCTGTAAGAGTAAACACCTGCTTAAAAAGGGTAATAAAAAATGAACATGAAATCATGTCAAATTCAGGAGTGTCACCAGGGGGACCTTAGAAAAATACATTTTTCTCGTCTATCTGGTTTTCCAGGAAATGACAAGCTAGCATATGCTTTCAATTTTTGAGGTCAAAGTTATAATTTTTGTTCGCTAAGTTACATAGGAGAAAACTTTGAGGAATCTTTAATATTGCCAAATATGTAAAGGGCAGCGATGGAAGAAGAAAACAGAGCTGTGGAACAAAGTAGTTCATGCACGGAAGAGAGATTTATCTTGGCTCAGCAGAGCCATATATAAACTTTCTTTTTGCTGGTGACTTCAGAGTAGACTACATAAGAGAGGCAGTTAATAATTTCTGGCTTTGAGCTACATCTCTTGTTTAAGTGCATTCTTTTAAATTTTTAAACAAAACTCGATGAATTAAACCAATAGTGAATATTTGTCTGGGTATAAGGCAATGGTATTAATTTGCTTATAAAATTCTTGTGTTTCAGAAATTGCAGCTCTTAGAAATGTGTGTGGTTTTACGTTTGATTTCGCCAAGAGCCTGTCTGATAGGATGGCATTTATAAAAATGTAGTAAAAGGCTCTTGTTAAGAGTATAGATGGGTTCCTGTTCTGTGGGTAAATATGTATGGTCTGAAGACCTGCCACAACTGAAATCAAAGGCAAAATGTCCAGTGATTTAGTAGAACTTGGAATTAACCTGCCTTCATATATATCTTGCTTTGAATTTGTGTTTTTAAGTGAAGGACTCAGAGGGGAAAAAACACCCACTAGCTAGCAATTTTCAGTTGCCATATTTTATAGATTTCAACTTTTCATGTTGTAGCATTTGAACGTATTTATATGACATTATTTAGCTGTGGCTTAGAAATGTACTTTCATTGTGTAACTGACAGTTGGTAAGAAACTGGCTGTAATGGCTTTCCTGTATTTATAGTAGTAATAAAGCAGATCACATAAACACAAGTGGTTTTCACACTCAAAATAAGTAAAATCATCTGAAGTTAATTTTAAGTGTATCAACAGGAGAATGCTTGCCAGCTCTTGAGCGACCCGTTACTTTTACTGTTTCTTTCTGGGGGAACTTGGGAGGAGGAGGGAGACTGTTTATAATTACAGTGTAATAAAAGATGCATTATATATTGCATCACAGTGCATAAAAGTCAAATGTATAGGTCATGTTAAAGCATACATTACAGAATTACGTATAGTGTATGATTAGTAATGTGAAAAGACAAGTTGTTACCATTTTTTTGTGTTGTTTTGCAGCAAACTGTGACCTTTTATTCTGTTGTGTTAAAAGCAGATAAAGGGAGTTGAAACAACCTACTCCCTGTTCTAAACCAGATAAGAATTGCATTATTTTGTGGTTGAATGGAAACCAGATCAAATACTGAAGGGGCTTCAAGCAGCTAGACTATGCTATTCTAGAATGATGATTTTTTTTTTTCTTAATATATTTAGAAGTCTGCTGCTTTTTCTAGATTCTGGTCAGCTAGAACAGCAACTTGAGGAGGCCAGCACTGCAAGGCGGGAGTTGGATGATGCTTCCAGACAAATAAAGGCTTTTGAGAAACAGGTCAGAACGCTGAAGCAAGAGAGGGAAGATCTTAATAAGGTAAAAGCATTTTGTCAGTAACTGTTCTAAACCCTAAAGACTATTTTATTTTTGTCCGTTTTGCTTGAAATAACTTTCAAGTGTAAAATTAATGAGCAGACAACAAATGCGTACCGTGACCTACTTTGCTTTCTATCTCTTTTTTGAAGACAAGGACACTATTTAACGCATTGTATGTATGACTGCTGGGTGGTCCTAGGTGACTGCTTCCAGGTAGCGAACAACTCCATGATTCAAATTGCATGGTGGCTGCACAGAAGGTTTTATAGCTTCAGATTAAGGTGGTAATGGTAGTGGTTAGAAGACAGAGTAGAGAAGAAGTATTCCAGACAACTAATTTAATCTGAAGTATGGGTGAGACTGTAGCAGGAAAAAAAATGTTAAGAATAGAGATGTGAAAAGTTGCCCAAATATGAAGATTGAAAAGTAATTAGAAATAACTACATTTAAAGAATACTGGGGTTTATTTCTTCTCTGTCTCCCCAATTCCTTGTTTTCTTATTTATAATATACTGTCTTTCATGCCTCTTTTTTTTATTCACGGTTAAATCAACCTGTAATCAGGTGTGAAATACATTAGCCTGTTTCTCATCATGATTATATTGGCCTAGTATTTTAGAGGCCACACTCAATGTTGGTGTGCCAGCTGTATTTAACAATGTTTCTTTTAACCCTTAAAGCTTTTAAAACCTTGAAAGCTGCTGGTTTGTCCAAGAAAGACCATCTCCCTTCTAAAATAACTTGTAGTTACTAGGACCTCTTTTTAACGACCTTAGAAAATGCTTTCAAATTGGTATAGATGTCAACAGTGCCAAATATTAACTCTTCCTCCTGCTCTTCATCCTCAGACTTGCTTTTCCTTGCTTCTTTGTTCTGCTCCATTTTGGCTGAACATCATTAAACCATTTAAACTGTTGTGGTCCCTCATTCATAGTGTAGTAGCACAGATCCATGACTCAGCAAGCTCTGTGAAGGTGTTGTGCTGTAGAGTTATCACAGCACTAGCAGTATTGTTTCATGTGGGCTCTTTTAAAAGAATAATTATCATATATTGCTGTTGATCATCACAGTGTTTTGTTACCTGAAACTTTCTGTAATATTTGATATTGTGGTACAGTGTGTGGAACTCATACTTGCCATTGCAGGTCAGTTTTCAAAAGCTTCTAAAGTAGAAATTTTCATAGAGCAGAGTTTTTCATTCACTGAATGCAAAACCTTTTTTTAATCATATAGCAGTTGAGATAAGTACCATTCTTTTTATTCATTTAAGTAGTTCTTGGAAAAACTAAGCTAATGACATTTTTTAATTAAGAAAACAAGGTATTTTTATGTTTTAATGCAAGTGCTTGAAAGCCTTTCTGTTTAACCTATAATAATGGAGTAAATTCCTACTTGTTTTATGTTTATGCAGTTTTACTGACTTTAGTAGTGTAAAACCTGGCCTCTTTCCTTATTTACAGAGGCATACAATCTGTATCGTAGATGCATTCATGAAAAGCAATGAATATGTAGTTTCATTTCACTCTGGAGAAAGTGTTAGATGCTCATCCAAAGACAGAATTGGCCTTGCAGCTTTCTAGGTTTATTACTTAATTCTTTTTTTGAACTGTAGGAACTGGCAGACTCTAGTGACAGATTAAAATCCCAAGCCAAAGAGCTGAAAGATGCACACAGCCAGCGGAAATTGGCAATGCAGGAGTTCTCAGAGATGAACGAGCGGCTGACAGACTTGCACTCTCAAAAACAAAAGCTTGCCCGCCAGCTCCGAGATAAGGAGGAAGAAATGGAAGTGGTGATGCAAAAAGTAGAAAGTTTAAGGCAAGAGTTACGCAGGACAGAGAGACTTAAAAAAGAAGTAAGTGGTGAGAAGACTGTTTAGAATCTATGAAATAGTAGTTATAAGTAAGGTTTTCTGACAAAGTAATTTTTTTATGTTGTCTGTAAATCTTTAACTCTTTGTTGTTTAAAACAGTACTGATTTTTGTTTTCTAAGAATTTGAAGTGTCCAGTTTAGTGCTGAAGATTTATCTCTTATATTGAAAACCATCAATAGATTTGGGGGAAAAAAAAAAAAAACAAAAGAAAAAAAGAATCCTATTAAAAATGTATGTACTTTTGTAGCTGGAAGTCCAAGCTGAAGCCGCAGCTGCTGAGGCATCCAAAGACAGGAAATTGCGAGAGAGGAGTGAACAGTACTCTAAACAGTTGGAAAGCGAAGTAGAAGGGCTAAAGGTTAGTCTGTTTTGATATTAACACCTGCAAACTTACCAGTCACCTAGGAGTTGGATCTGTTTGATTGCTTTCAGATGTAGGACAAAAGGGTATTGTCAGTTTGTCACTTCAGTTGATGCTTAATATTAATGCAAGCACACATCGCATTATTGTCCAGAAAAATGAACATTTGCCTAATGCATTTTTCAGGCCAGTGTGTTCACTGCTTACTGAAGTATTTCTTAATGCTTGATGTTTTCTTACCAAATTGCTTCCATTATTACTTTGTTTAGCTTTACCTGTTGAGTATTTGAAGATAAACCTGCACCCGGGCAGGTTTCTGTATAGGTATTTTGTGTACTGTGTTGTTCCTCAGTATGTAAGTCCAAAGAAAGATGTTTTCCTCCACAATAGATGTCACCTGAGGTAACTGTAAAGGCAAAGTTTTAGTGCATTCAACCTCTCAGCCAGAAATTGAGATATTTTTGCACAAGAACAGCATTGAGTGTGAAGACTTTGTTTATATTGATGAGATTGCTCACACATGTATGTGGTTTTTAGGAGGACAAATTTGAGTAAGCTAACTGTTAACTGTTATTTTATTCTATGATTTAGCATTTTGTACGGTGCTCTGAAGAAATTAGACTTGCTCAATAATTGAATGAGAGTGTTTTTCATTTCCACATGAGGATTTCTGTTCAGTAAAATCCTGTTCCTAATGTTTTGTCTAGTAGGATAATTCTAAAATTTTTGTGCAAAATGTCAGATTAGGCCTATTCTGGTCTTAATTTACATGAATAACTGGGGTGGGTGGGGGTGGCGGCGGTTATTAGAATTCTGTGGGACATTTGTCAACATTAAGTCACTGCACAGAAAATTTGGCTTGCTTTGCAAATGTTACTTTATTTTGCCTGCCTTTGTTAAATGAAAATGAGGAAATTCATTCAGTATGAATTTTGGATTTATAGTTTCTAGTGCTGTGAATTCACATTGTTATCTAAATAGTAAGATGTATTTCTTCTGCTTTCATGGATTTTTGCTATCAGCAAAGAGTTTGTATGACAGTTTAAAAGACGAGTGGAATTTATTGGAGATCTATTGAGAATAAATGATATGCTGATTTATAACAACAGGGCAAGTTGGTCAGAAGAGGAAAGGGGACTTGTAGCTTTCTTAGTAATATTTCACAGTACAGTAAGCACACTTTGGATCACTTGTGGTTGTTGTGACACTGTATTATCCATTCAGTAAAAACTCTGCGTGGCTTCTTAGTTAAGTTCAGGAGGCTATCACAGAGAAAAGGTCAATATTTAAAGAAAAAGGGGAAGTTTCTCCAAATGAGGAGAATAGAAAAGCCCGTAAATGATGGCAGGTTAAGTGTAAACACGATGTTAAGGGCTAAATAAAGAGAATTTAGAGAGCACTTTGCAAATGATGCTCAGTGTGATTGTGGCAAGTTCTTTAAATCAAAAGCAGAAAGCCACCTTAGGAAACTCATGGGGTACTTGTTGGATGAAAAAGGTAACCTCCGAGTTGATAGGGCTGTGGCAGAAATGTTCAACGAGTTTTTGGTGTGTCAGACTTGACTGCTGAAGCAGGGGAGATTGCCACACAGAGTGCATTCTTTGCAGCAGGTTGGATCAGGCTGAGGATGATGTGCAGGAAGCGTTAGAGATGGCAGGTGAGTCAGATGTGAAGGCACCTGGAGCAGTGATCTCACCGAAGGCGTTCTGAAGGAACTTGGGTGAGAAGTGAGAGAACTGCTGGCCAGGATGTGCACCCTATTATTACAGATGGCCTGCTGTGCCACTGTGACTCTCATCCAGAAGATCCTGGGAACTGCAGAGGAGTGGGTGCGACTTCCTTAGGGATGGGGTAGAGGCTGTAGTAAAGAAAAAGGTCGGTGAGCTCATGCATGAAGCAGAGCCTGTTGGGAAGAAGGAAATGCGCCTTCTGTCCAGCCGAGTCCTGCAACATTGACCTGCCAGGGTTCTGCAAAATTGTCAGTAAGTGTGTGGACAAAGGAGATCCGGTGGATGCCATATTTTCAAAAAAATCAGGCTCAATATGAGTTGGTAGTGTGCCCTGGCAGCCAAGAGGGCAAACTGCATCCTGGTGTGCATTAAACAGCATCTCCTATCTGTGTGCCAGGAGATGCATTGTATCCCAGTTGCACCATTTGTCCACTTGAAACAGGCATGTATGAAAACATCTATGTGGATGTCACTCTTAAATTTGGGCAGGAAGAAGCTGAGGGGAAATCATGTTTAAGGTTTACAAAATCACAAAGGTAGTGGATAAGGTGAATGAAAATGGCTGCTTGCCAAACCCTACAGTACTACAGCTGAGGGGCGCTGATGAAGCAAACAGGACACGCATTTAATACAGCACTTTGTCGCACAATGAGGAGTGAACTCCTGGAACTTGTTGCCACAGGAGTTTGTGGTTGTGACGGTATCAGTAGGATCATAAAAGGGATTAGACAAATCGATGAACACCAGGTCCTGAGACCATGCGGAGAGGTACCATCTAACACCTTTTGTCCAACAGTTGTTGTATTTCAAGGGGGATGGACCTCATAAAAAAGGCAGGCCTGGGTGCTGTCCCCAAATAGCCATTGCTTTCAGGAAGATACTGATCTGACCCAGTAAGGCATCTCTCAAGGTTGTTCTTCGCAGTGAAGCTGAATGTGTTACTGGAATGGTAAGAGTAGTGAAAGCAACCGTATGAGTAAGTGAAGAAGTTAATGACTCGGACCACATGTTGGAGGAAGGTACCAAAAGAAGCCGGTTACCATTTGTACTATATTTCTGATTCTAAACAAGCTTCCATTAACGTTGAAAAATAGAGCTATACATAACAATGGAAGAGGGCTTTCATTTTCATCAGAGCAATATTTATAATACCTACAAATCTCTGTTCTTCATCAGTAGGTAGATGTATTTATTATTAGTTTTTAGGGCATATTATAGGCGTGGTAGAAGATCTTACACTTGCTGGTTACTTCAGTAAACTTAGTTATAAAGCCTTAGCTGTGTATATTGAGACAGTAAAAACTTGGTTTCTGGACTGAATTACAGATATAGAAGAGGTATATTGGGTGAGTCTGTTTTGGGCAAACTAGGCAATTTTTCATGCTAATTTGTACAGCTGTTTTATTTTTTTTGTTCTTTTGTAAGTTCATTTCAAGCAAATTTAGACTAAATTTTGCATGTTGAATATTTCGGTAGCATATTGAAAATTAAATTCTCAACTCTTACCTTCCTACCCGAGCAACAACAAATTACTCAATTGAGAGGAGTAATATAGTAATCCACATAAATGATAATTAATAGGATTGTAATAAGGAAGATTGCATCTTTCTTAATATGTTGCATTTGGCAAATATTTATACCATAAAACTTTGTGCTATTAGCATCACAATCCTAAATAGGATTCTTCGTATTCTTAACCAAGGTAAATTATTATTGCCATCTGCAATGGGCAAGATACAAGCCTTGAAGCAATACAAAATAGCGCTTGTAACAAAAGGCTAATCTCATTAAAGATGAGTGTCCTGGTTTTGGCTGGGATAGAGTTGATTTTCTTTCTAGTAGCCCCTATACTGCTGTGTTTTGGATTTAGGATGAGAATAATGTTGATGACACACTGATGTTTTTAGTAGTTGCTGGGTAGTGGTAGTGTCTACGCTAGGTCAAGGACTTTTCAGCTTCCCATGCCCTGCCAGGTGCACCAGAAGCTGGGAGAGCACAGCCAGGACACTGACCCAGGCTGGCCAAAGGGATATTCCTTACTATATATAACATCATGCTCCATATGTAACTTGGGAAGCTAGCTGGGAGGTGGGATCGCTGCTCGGAAACAGACTGGGCATCGGGGATCTTTTTTTTTCCACAGGTGAGCAGGTTGTATTTGTGCATCACGTTGTTGTTATTGCTATTATCTTCCTTTGTTACCCTATTAAACTGTCTTAATCTCAATCTACAAGGTTGGTTTTTTCCCATTCTCCTCCCCATCCCACTGGGGTGGGGAGGGGTGAGCAGGTGGCTGTGTGGTGCTTTGTTACTGGCAGGTGTTAAACCACGATAGTCCTTCTTGGCACCAAACATGGGGCACGAAGGGTTGAGATAAGAACAGATCTGACCAGAGTGTGTTAAAACAAATTTATTATAAGAAGTTACTAAATTAGTTTAATCATTGCTGGTCTGCTGGTCACAACATTGTTTTATTTGTTCCCTGAGTTGTTCTCAGAGTTGTGTTATGTAACACCTTACTTGCCATATATACTGGTTATCAGTCTTTATGTATGCTTTATCACTTCTGGGTGCTGGATTAAGGTTATTGCTCTGCTGTATTGTGTACCACTGGCTTATGGTATGATAAAATCATTGATCGTCGGACCAATCTGGTATCTGTACTCAGCGGTGGCGGATGGCGCACAGAGCGGAGCAACAGCGGCGGTTTCATGTCCGTACTTCAGGAGCCATCTGTTGGAAGCTGTTAATAATCACACTTTTTACTTGTTCTCCTTGGAGAGCCAATATGTGGGGGAGACACCTTCCTTTACCTTCCCCTTCTTCTCCAGGCTAATTACAATAGCTCTTGAGACTGTTGAATATCCTTGGGATGTTGGGACCAGCATGCTTCTATTGCTAGTTCTCCTGAATGTGGTTCAGGTCTTGTTTAGGGTTAAACAACTATTTAAGAATACCACCTGGAGATCAACCCCTGCGACAGGCACTGAGGCTACTCAAACCTTGGCGATAAGCACTGCAGCTGAACCAGAGAACCAGCGTATACTGGTATCAGTCGCCCCTATACACAAGAGGAAATGGACATGAAAGTCAGCTTGTTTAGTAAAGGATGATGAAACAGGGCCATCACAAAAGCAGGAGGAAGAGACAGAACTGCTGTATTATTGCAGTATTTAATGCTTATTCTTTATTCTTCAAGTGCAAAACTCGATGTCTGTTAATGTTGCAATTATGGTATCCATAGTCCGTGATATACATGTCAATACATACAGCAGTATTTACAACACTGCTGTCAGATTGGACTATTCAGCTTCATAACTGCCTAATGAAAGAGCTGCTGTGTTTGAGGTTTTTTTGTTTGGGTTTTTGTGTGTGTCTGTGTGTGCGCGGGAGAGGGAAGACTTCCAGAGCGGAGTTATGGCATCTAACTATCTGTGTGCCAAGAGATGCATTATGTCTCAGTTGCACCATTTGTCCACTTGAAACAGGCATGTATGAAAACATCTATTTGGAATTTGTGCTTACAGCAATTCAAAATCTATTCTTTGTTTACTATATTACTCTAGTTCTGTAAGCCACTGTACAATACCATCCAGCTCTCTCTTCTACAGCACCATCTGTGTTATGGTCTTAATAGTATCTTTTCGTTGTGGGGAAAAAATGTGAAATACCTTTAAAACATTTTACGTACCTGATAGATGATGTTGCAAAGCCTAAACTTTTTATGTGCTCCATTGCCATTTACGTGTCGGCAATTTGGCATGTTGGGCAGTAGCAAACAAGCTCAGCAGTTAACTGCCTGCGCGTGAAAGAAAATTCCTATACTTCCTTTTTTTTTTTTTTTTTTTAAATCTTTCTTTCTGCCTGTTAGGATGGCATCTTCTTTCTCCAGTTACCATCCTGAGGGCGGGATTTTACTCTTAGATCAAAACAGACGGCTGTTTTGATGAGTTAGAGAAAACAATGCAGTAGCAGCACATATCTGGCTCATACGTTTAGGGGGTTTTGCAGTGTTCTGCTGACACTAACAGCAAGGCCCAGCTTTCTCATAGAATTCGTCATGGTAGAAATTCAGCTCATCTGAATGTTCTACAGTGCCATTTAGCTCTTAAAGTCTATTCATACATCAGCAAAAGAAAATTACCCAAAGCCATGTTTAATTAAGAGTGACTGAGAGGATTTTAACATCTCATGGTAAAAATGGAGGTATAATTAAGAAAATAGCTTCGATCCTCCTGAAGGTATGAGACAGCTACTCTAAGGAAGTAGGTTTTCCAGTTACCTGCACTTTCTCAAAACACCATGTTTTTTTTAAATAATTTCCTTTCCTTGGACTACCTTTAATTACATATTTTAAAAAATAGAAAAAATTCCAAATGAAGTTATACATGTTTACCTTAAAAAGTATTTCCATACTTGGATTTCAGTGCATGTCATGCCACTATCTCATTTTGAACCTGATCTTGCTCCTCCTCTATGTTATGGCAGGACATTGAGTTTAGTGAGTGCAGCATTTGGTGCAAATGTGTATGTATCCTGAAGCAGTGTGTAAAGACTATTGAAATGCCAGAAGACCTCACTAAGAGAGCTATGCAGCTGCGAAAAGTGAAGTAATTACTCTTATTGTTTAAAGCTTGTTTCTTCCTATTAATCCACTATGATGTAAATGGTCAGTTTAAGTAAAATAGGTCAGGTTGCCCTCCTGACTGATGCAATCCATGTAGTCTTTCTGTAGCTAGATTTTAGCCTTCAATTAAGCCTCTGCTTGTCTTAGTATAGCTTTTCCACAAGTTACTTCTGCTTTAAAGTATATTGACTGTATATCGTAGTCATTATTCTCCATTCCTGAAAGTCACTTGAACTTCTTGCTCTCAACCGTGTGAGTGGAAGCATAAAAATGTTCTGATTCTTTGGTCACTTTCTGACTGCATGTAAGGGGAGTCAGAATGTAGCCAGAGGTGTTTAAAGTGATGATCAGATTTTCAATGGCTTGAAAACTATTACTGCATTTAAATCACAAAATGATACAGAGTACAGTTCAGATTTATGCTCTAACAATTTTCAAAAAAAATTGAGATAGACATGTTAAGTCTGTAATGGGATATTTTCTAAATGTAGACTTATGAATAGTGAGTTGTTATTAGGCATCATTTTCAGCATTCTTGAGGACTAACTTGGGACTGTTTATTTTAGCAAAAGCAGGTTGGTCGCTCACCTGGGGTAAGCAGTATAGAACACCAGCAAGAGATCACCAAATTAAAGGCAGACCTGGAAAAGAAAAGCGTTTTCTATGAAGAGGAACTATCTAAACGTGAAATAATGCATGCTAATGAAATAAAAAGTCTGAAGAAAGAACTGCGGGATGCAGAGAGCCAGCAGCTTGCCCTCAAGAAGGAGATCATGATTTTGAAAGACAAGTTAGAGAAAACCAGGAGAGAAAAGTGAGTACTGTATGGAATTTACCTTTAAGCTCAAAATACCTTTGAAGTCCCCTAGTATGTTTCCAAACACATTATCACCTCCTTAATTGTAGCTCAGACAGGTGCATTTTAACTGAGCTAATGCCAGGGTTGGAAATAATCACCTTTAGAAATAAAATGGAACAAAGAAATCCCCATCCCTGTACCAAAACAGTTAATTTTGCACCAGAATTCTTGTACTGGTTGACCATTCCGAGTTGTGTAACTTGAGTTGCAGCTTATGTTGCAGTTTAAAATATTTGTTGACATTTTTTTCTGTTTGATATTTTCATCTTTTGATGCAAAACTAATGGGTTAGAGATCAACTATTGCTTACATTTCTGCCAGCACAGGAACAGTCACTTAATGCGGACTAAGGCTAATCCTTGCTGGGTTCCATCCAGTGTTAGCATCAGTCATCAGACTACTGTAGGCATAAGCTGCTTTATCTCTTCTGACATGGTAATTTGTCAGGACCTGCTTTCTTCTCTCCCATGTGGTGGAGCTTATACCTGGCCTTGAGAATGTTCCTTGAGGCATTCATCAATAAAAACAAGTTTTTCTGGTGGATAGTGTAGTAATGGAAATAGTCATAAATTGCATGTTTTCATTTTCATTCATAAAAAATTCAGAATGCTTTATCTAACACAGATGGTTCTTTTTGCTGCTGTAGTAAGATGGCATACTAGGAAAACCATAGCTAAGCTTCCAGCAGGAGCTTCTCCAAGCTATAGCGAGTCCTTATATTTAAGTAGTAAATAAAGTAAAGAATTTTTCAAAAAAGCTTATGCAAATGGAGGTGGAAACAGTGCCTCTCTGGTAAATGGTTTCCAGCAGAGGAAGTAGATCATACAGCCTAGAAATGCAGTGGATGAACTGTTTCTTCCTACAGTACAGCTATTCATAGGCTGGACATATTATCACAGTCATTTGCTGCTTTGTTCTAGGTTGAGAGGTAAAACTTGCATCAGCAGCGTGTTTTCATTGTACTACAACTTAATGGTCTTGCTGACCTATGAGTTACAAACGCACAAAAGGCTGTGCCGTCTTGTAATATATAAAGGTGATGTATGGTACTCTTTTAATGCCATGTCAGTCCAGTAGTGTCTCAGGAGGAGGACTATTCAAGAAAGAATCATTAATACCTCTTTCTGCAGACTAAACTGTTGCTAAAGGTCATGCCTCCAAACACTGACCAGACAAAAAACTTCTTGGAGTTGTATCAGCTGCAAAAGTTCTGACTAGATGTTCATCTGGTGAAATAACAAATGGCCTACCAACACTGATCTGCGTCATCCTAGCTAGTTCATAAACCTTCTTTCAATCTAGTTTCTCTCTATAAATAAAAAAGAACTGGATGCAAATCTAAAACGAGTGCTGACATAACCATGTGTTTCTGTATGCATTTCAAGCGTTGGTGTAAGAGAACATTTTAAAGTATGAACAGAAGTGTGTCACATAACCAGAATCCAACATTTGGCGCTTAATGGGAAAGGCTTCAGCATCATACGAAGTCAGGTGTCCAAGCACATGATGAGTGATTAATGAAGACCTGATCTTAACTGCGTTCTGTTAACGAAATCTGCAGAATCTCATGCAAGTATTAGGACTCTGTAGAAATGCCGAAATCCACTATTCACGGTGTGCTACAGATTGTCTTCTGTAGTAGTGCAGGGATTTATGAGGGAAGCTTAAATATTAGGAATGGAGGAATTGCTGTTGCTGCTCAATTCTCAGTATTTGATAGTTTTTCTTAAGAGAACATGGATTTTTTTTGTTTCTGCTTACACATATTGTTCTTAGCTTTTGTAAGCAGGCGTGCAAAGCTTTTTGTGAGTCTGCCAGTACAGAGGTGTTCAGTGGAAGTGCTGAAAAGGAAGCACCTGGAGGCTTTGTGCTGAAATTAGTGGAATTATTTCAACAATAGGCCTGGGGTGGGTGTGGGGTTGAAGTGTGCGATTACAGTTTGGGAAAAAAAGTTTAGTAGCCTGAAAATAATCTTTAGTGCGTATTTAAAAAAAAAAAAAAAAAGGCTTTGATAAGAGGGTGCAGTTGCATTACTTCATAAAGGCTATAGTAGGGAGTGAATAAGAGCTTGGTCAAAATCTGTATGTACTTCTTTTTATGTACCTTACATGGTGGTGGTTTCTGTTTCATTTTTTAAAATGAGTAATTTTTTGTTTCCTTCAAATTTAAGCTTTCTTACTTTTGCTATTTCAACAGTGTAAGTCTTTAAGGGAGAGAAACTACCTTTCTGTACAAAACAATTGCCTTTTGCTAAAGTCTGATAAACTGCATGCTATTAAAACTGGGAACGTAGGAACACAATATCAGGCCAGCGATCTGTGTAGCACAATATTCCATTTCTTAGAATTGTCTTTGTGAAATATTTCAGAAGAAGGTGCAAGAAACTGTGTAAAATAAATCATGTTAGTAGAAGTTTCTTTTAAGCTTGTCATTTAATGATAGATTTATAAAGCAGAGAGCTTTATAAAACAGCGTTTGCTGTTTTTAAATTGTGCGATCTAAAGAAGCCTGAGGGCTGGTGTTTGTTTCAGGTCTACTTTTTTTAGTTTCAAAGCAGTAAGATGAAAATATTTCTCCACTTTGTACAGCCACAACAAAGAGCTGGAGTGACAAAGTGATACCGTAAAGCTGTATTTCACATTGCTTGCATGTGGTTTGCTATAGTTATTTTACTGATAAAAAGAAAGCTGGATCATGTATGATTTCTTAAACTTTAAGAGCAGATATATAGCTAAATTTTAGATGAGAGAAGAAATTTGATGGGAGAGGAAAATGCCAGGCTTCAAAGCAAATGTGTTATTTTGATCTTCCTGGCTGTCCAAGGTATGGGGTCTGTCACAGTTCTGTGGTTTGCTGCATTGGTATTTGGGTATGATAGATCGTACCCACATTCTCCTCTGTTTAAAATTTACCATCTTTGTTTCTGTATTACACTATAGCAATCTGACTTACTGGGTTAGTGTCAATGACCAGTTGAGTTAAGAACATAAAATACAGAAAGCTACAACTATGTTGGCCTCCTTTACCAATCCAGAGCTTCTTTAATCCACCACCATTTATGACTGCTTTGAGCCTTAAAGCCTTAAAAGAACAAGTTTTAGGCAAATACAGAATAAAAATCCCTAAACAAAACCATAAAACTATAAAAGCTAAATAAATAAAAGAAATTAATTAAAAATTAGTTCAGTCTACTGTCTGAGAAATTAGCTTTGAATCTATGCCTTGCAAACAGAAGCAGAACCTGTTATTAATTCCCCTGACAGCCAATGCTTTAATCTCTTCCTGCCTTTTCCGTAGGCTGCTCATCATATGCATGGAATCTGTTGATATAGAAAAGGAGTGGTGGTGAATTTCAAACTTGGCGTTTAAACAGTAACGATAGTATGTTACTTTGCTAGGATGTAGTGTTATGTTTCAAAGGATGCCTAGCAACATAGAATTTCACCATGAGTCTTACATGCTGTACTAGATTTCAAAGAGTGGTTGAAGCACTAAATGAATTTCACATTAGGAATAGGAAATTCAAACCAGCATTAGTCTTAGCTGCGTTCACTGTAGCCACTGACACTTCTCATCTTTTAAGGGTGTTCTCTCAATTTCGCAGAGTTGTAGTTCTGCATCTCAGAAAAAGAGGCAAGGATGTTATTTCTCTGTTGCACAATGTAGAATTCTAACTGGTATCCAGAAAAAAATTTGCAATGTTTAAGACAAGGTTTCCACTGAATTTTATTTTTACAGAGCTAACCGTTTATACTGGATATTTTTTTAAACCTTTTCCGGCTGGGCAGTGGTATTTGCTAAATGGATACTTACTGTATCTGTGGCATTTATACTATAGTTCCATCAACCTACTGATGAACTTTGTACCAATTACCTGAATAATTGCTGAAACAGTGAATACAAGATGCCACAATGTCATCGTACTGAACCTTTGTAAACGTAGTGAGTCTCAACAGCATGGATTTGAGGTGGGAGTTATACCTCTACAAAATTGAAGTCCACCACTTTAAGGAAATGACGATGTTTTTTGGCAAATAGAGGACCTGTAGTTTCATTTATTTTGAGAGTCTCATATTCATTGTGCAAGATCAAAGCTGTTGTTAAGCAGAATCAAACCAAGGGTTCTCTTCTACTGAATGACATCCACAGGAGAAGGGAAGGGTTGGGGGAAACAGCTACTTTGAAACTCTTTCTCAGAAAGAATGGTCCAAACCTGCTCTAGAATCCGGTGATACTAGGAGTGTATAGGTTATCCATTCACTTTTTGCTGATAGTAAGTATACAGTAACTGAATTAACACTTCAAATGTATCTTCTGCCCAAAGGCCACTGCTGATACAAGCTTTTCTCGTGAGATCCAGCCCCAAGTGCTGTAATTTAGCTTCTATATGTTCTGGTTTCGTATGTGGTCGTTTCTGCCTGTCATTCTGTGTGGACTGCAGAACTATAGAAATGTGTAAGTTAAAATAACATTTCTGTGAGCTGAGAATTTACCCTGAATGTCTCAGAATATCGACACACACTTTGGCTTGTAGAATTACAGCTGCTCAGTGTTTGAAGGATTCAGCTAAAGAATAAAATATGTATAAGTGGATTGATAAACATTAGCTCAGTGGAGCTCTATTAATTCTGTGCTGAAGGAAAGATCATTGTTTAATGATAAAATTCAACAGACTGTCTCATAGTCCTAAAATGGTAGTATTACTCACTTAGTTTTAATAGGCTGTGGTATTATCAGTGTAATACTTTCAGCCAGCATGTGCATTGGTCTTTATGTATTTAGGTAAATAGCGTGATGAGTTTTAGAATAGGAAACTTTCTAATTCTGCTTCATTTTATTTCTTAGCCAAAGTGAAAGGGAGGAATTTGAAACAGAGTTTAAACAGAAGTATGAACGAGAAAAGCTTCTGCTAACAGAGGAAAACAAAAAACTTTCAAATGAACTTGATAAGGTAAGCGCTGATTAGTTGAGTCCTGAGTTTACAACTATTGGATGCTATGTACAAATTTGATGATATAGAGCTGTATTGGTTATTATTAACTCGTGATAGCAAAAATTAATATTACACAAAAGGTGGTGATTAATGCTTGATTTGACTAGAGAGTACATGCATCTGAATTTGAGAATGTGTGCATGTATGTGTGTATATATATGCATGTATGTGTATTTATGTTGAGGAATTGAGTTAGATGGTCTTAAGTTTGGTAGGATTAGTCTTAGACAATATCTCAAGGGAAAAAAAAATTCTTTCGTTGTATGACCCAAATATAAAAATACATAGTGATGTGTTTACATAGTGTATATTTGCATGTCAATTACTGTTAAATAGCAGGGCCCCTCCTGCCTATTGAAATTGGGTGTTACTTTGAGATATTAAAAAAATACAAATGATAAGGCGTGTTAATTGAAGTGTATTGAGCAAGGAATAATTACATTTCGTGCATTTAGATTATCTCTTTATTGTTCATTTTGACAGGTTATTCAAGTTCATTGTGGATTAGCCAAGTCTTGCTATACTTGTCTATTCTTTTTTGTAATGCATTAAATTTTCTAAAAATACGATGAAAGTAGTGCTCTTCAAAGTAAGCATATTTGCATGTCAGTGTTCGAATTAAAGTATATTTTCATACCAGTATAAGCAGTATACTATATATGCCTATATGTAGGTTTAGCCCAAGAACAGTAAGAGACTAGTCACTTTGAATGTTGGGGTTTTTTTCCTTAAATTTGGTTAGCTTTGTATTTTTCTTCTCAAATGACATTTAATAAATAGGCATATTTAAATCATAAGCCCATTTAAATGATAAATATGGAGTGGAGTATTCATACTAGGAGTAAAAAGAGTAGACTAGATTAAAAATTGATATTTCTTCATCATTTTAATGTTGTTAATATATTTCAGTGCTAAAGGAAGCCTTTCACATGAGATTCATTCTCTTAAGCAGGCCTTCCTATAAAGTCTATCTGATCTCTGATTCTGGTTTGACTTTCTGAATAATCGTTTAGCATAATGAAGGTTTAGTTCTCAATACCAACTCAGGTTAGCTATGGCTTTTGTCTTGCAGAATGTGCATGTATGAATAACAGCTATGTGAATGTAAGTGAGGTTAATTGCTAGGTATAACATATTGTACTTACAGATGTGCATTTAATTTTAATTCCCCTGTTTGCAAGTAAGTAAAAAGAAAAATTGAGGAATGTGAGACACCTAGAGAATCTCGGGACTGAGTTGCACTTGTATCTGTTAAGCCTCCCATTCTTTATGGTTACTAAACAAGGGAGATGTTTGGCAGTTTTATCTGAGCTACAACAATTTTTGTGCCTTTGCTTTGTTCTTTTAATGTAGATTTTCTACATTCCGCACCTATATGGTGCAAAGCAGAGACCTTCTAAGAGTTGTAGAGGTATTTGGAGACTAATTCCCAAAAACTAATTAATTTGTTAGAGTAAAAATATAGTTCTAGTCCTTACAAATGGCCTTTCAGTACAGCTGAGGTTATACACGAGATGAGATTCGGGCTTTTATTGTTACATGGTGTTTGTTGTGATGGATGGTACCAATTTGTAAAGCAGATGGATGATGTGGGAGAAGGGAACACACGGTTTTGAGTCTGCACAGAGATGGAGTCACAGCAGCTTATGCATTTAACAAGTTGTTTAAATTCTCATTCAGCTCACCACCATGTTTGAGAGGCTGAGTATGAATAACCGGCAGCTGGAAGAAGAGATGAGAGACCTGGCTGATAAAAAAGAGTCTGTGGCCCACTGGGAGGCCCAAATTACTGAGATCATCCAATGGTGAGTATCTGCTCTAGTGTCATTGCAGAATCCCCTGTGGTAGGGCTGTTACTGAGCTTTTGCCTTTGCACGTGGCACTTGCAAGTGCTTGGGTGAAATCTCACACTCACCTGGGATTCTGCTGTGGTTTGCTTGAGATTTTAATAATATCCAAATCCAGAAAATTATGTTCCTCCTTAAGAGCAAAAGTGTCTTAGCAAATACAACTTTTTTAAGTGCAGAAGAATCATGGCCATTGGGTGTGGCTTGTGGCTTTGAAAGAATGCTGGAAGGAGTCATGTGCTGAGCTCACGCCTCCGAGAGGGAGCAAGCCTGGGAAAAGCAGTGGCTGAGAGTGTGTGTC